ACTTAACCAATGCATGACCTCATATCACTCTGTATTAACCTCATTCTCATCTTTGAAGTCACCACCTCTTGTTTTTCAGCCCTCCAATCTATCTAGGTAGTAAGTTTCCATGGGAACAGGGCGCCCATCTCCTCCTATATTTGTTTGTCAATTTTTATATTGTCTCTTAGATGTCTTGTACCTTTGCCTTTTTACTTGTACCAATTGCACCCACGAACAGTGCCGCAGGATATTCTTTATAAATAAAGTATAATAATAATAGTAACCTGGGGTGATAGAACAAGACTTTGAATTGGAAAGTATGTTGAATGCTAGTTCCCATCCTGTACATGAAACTGAAGGTCTCAGCTAAACAATGTGCCTTATCCTGGCAGCAATGGTGGATGGTCAGGGAGAGGAGGTTCTGTGCACATTGCAGGATATATGTACATGCTGCAATAGCAGTCTGTGATGCCATAACTAATACATATGCTCCTATACCACCAGCCCTCCAACATCAAAAGTAAGAGAAGAACATTTAAAACTCTGTAATTTACATAATTAGTTGTTTTTTTTTTATCCTACATTTATGTGCTTTGCATCCTACGTTTCACATAAACAAAATGTAAATAGATTTGTAATGAAGAGGTTTGTCTGCTGCTGCTAAAATGAACACACGTGATCCAACGAGTGCCCCGTGATACCCCGAGTATTTATTATCATTGAATGAATACTAGTCAGCGTAATTAGTGTGATATAAAACACGTGCAAATATAATAACGATGATGTTGACCCTTACCTCAAAAACAAATAACAAATTCTTCCAGGAAGTATTTTTAAATATTTTTGTAATAAATCCTTGAGGAATTTCTCTCAGTGCGTCTTCCAAACCTTTCCACAGATCATCTACATTGCTTGGATGCATCCTCACACTTCTCTGTCCAGATATTCCAAGCCAACATCGTCCAGATACTAAGACATTTTTTTGTTTGTTAGGGAAGTACTCATAAATGTTTGTCTTCTTTTTATTTATTTAATTTTTTTTATAAAAGTTAATGTTTTCTAAGCACTGCGAGCTTTGAGAAGGTCAACTGGAAGATGGGACTAACTAGAACTAGAGGAAAACTGTCGTACTTTGTATTATTTAAAATAAAAGATTGCATGTCCGGCGTGTCCTTTCTGTGAGGGTAGGAATGATTTGTAAGCTCTCTGGCTAGAAGCATAAGTTATCTGATCAAAAATCACACAAGTAATCAGGAGGTAGTTTGTGTTCGTAAATCTTAATATTATGCACATTTTCTTGGCATCTTAGAAATTCACTTTAGTGCAATAAATGACGTAAGCACATTTGTTTCATGTTTTGCTTGTTGAACTGCTCCTTTTTCTCGGGGGTGGTGGGGCGTGGGGGGCTTTTATCATATTTAAGACATGGTTACTATTTCAGTTGTGATTTTTTTGATTTTTGTTTTCTGTGGTGAGTATGGCCTACCAGATATCAGGCATTTAAATTATTTGTGGGGTTTATTGTATTTTGTTTGCAAGAGGTGTAACTAAATGGGGTTTGTAACGGACCGTTTTGCCCACAAGAGGTTAAAAACCCACAAATTCACCAACTCCTGAATTGCAACCAAGGGAATACTCGAAACTCCCGTCCTGCATATCAAGTAGTGCTCCAAACTCCCGAACTGGAGACACACGAATAGCTGTTAGCAGACGAACAGGAAAAGCCCCCAAGCGGCTTACACTCCTGGCAATCAGTCTCTAACAGCATAAAGTAAATCCCCCCCCAAAGACACTTCGGTTTGAGGGTCAAGCAGAATCTGGTTTACTGGGGCTAACTGCCCGGCTTTTATGCAGGTCTCCCACCTGGTGGACACTCCCCTAGGGGACCAAATGGGAAACTGGGAAACATATTGGCTCTTAGCCAATCACAGCTCTGAACTGCAGGGCCATAATATAAAGGGAGCAGACGAGCAACCAGGCTTCTCCTTAGCCAATCACAGCTCTGTACTACAGGGCCATAATCTAAAGGGAGCAGGCGAGCAACCAGGCTTCTCCAGTGCACAGTGGCGAGGTTGGTTCCGCCACAGGGTTAAACTCCTCACCTGCAATATCAATAATGTATTTCATGTATACATAGTCCCTTTGATGTCATATTACTTGCAAATCAGCCAACACCATGTTTATGCCAGTTTTGTAAGAGAAACCAATGATCTCGATTTTATTATTCTGAATAAGCTTTTAGAATGATCACAATCTGTTCGAAAAACATTTCAAATGACTTGTATACAGAAGTCCCGATTTAAATTTATGGGAATTTTTGTAAAGTTTTTCCAACCAATTGTGGTTATTCTAAAAGCCTATACAAAATAATTGTTGGTTATTTCTCTCTATATATTGTTTTCTCTCGTCCATCTGGTGCATTCTACAAATCAATAATTCCTCAAAGCTGACTTTTTGCATTCCTTAGGCTGGTGGCATATGAGGACATTTAAACAGAGTGTCAACTGCATCAAAGCTGTGCACATTGCATTTTAGAAGTTCTAATGTGGTTGATTTATTTAAAATATGTTGATGCATCTCCTGCCAGGTTGCTGAACAAATTCCCAAGTCTGTTTTGTGCACAAACAATGCCATATGTTAAGGTTAAATAATGAATGCTCTTTGTTCTTTTTCAGACAATGCAATAAAACATCGAATGGAAGCGACAGTTGTGATTTAATGTGCTGTGGTCGAGGATACAACCCATACATGGACAAAGTAGTTGAAAGATGTCACTGCAAGTACCACTGGTGTTGCTATGTAACTTGTAAAAAATGTGAACGGACTGTTGAAAGGTATGTGTGCAAGTGAAACAACATTTACTGACCTATCTCCAAGCACAAGACTCCACAAAACCAAAGCACTATCCGTAACAGAAAAGACCTTCTAATCTTCTCCTTGGCCAACTTGCAAGGATATTAACGTGAAACAAAACACGCGACATATGAGGTTAAAAAATGCAGGAGAAGGAAGAGAATAGATGGGTGTCATGATACATTTATATCCAATATGTTATGAGCAAGGACTTTGGTTGTTTGGAAAAGAATATCCACTGACTCTTGACTGGTAAAAGAAATCTACAGATCTCTTAAAGACTTATTTACAACTGCCCATGTCCAGTATGATTACAAAAAGAAGACAATGGCATGACCCACTGCTGTTTAACAGGAAACATTTTAGCCTTACTATAACCGAGAATGCTATTCACACCAGCTAAGGAAGAAGCTCAATTTGAAACTGGAGATGTCCTGGAGTTAACTTCAACGGGAGAGAGAGAGAGTAGGAGAGAGAGAAAGAAAAATTAGCTGTGATGAAAGACAATGTGCAATCAGCCACATTCACCCATTATCGCATGATCGTTTACAGCCTTAGGAATTCCACACTACACAGAACACTTTTGTCAAGAGTCAAAGTTCCGAGCATCTCAAATGATTCTCCTGACAACAGTGTAGTCCCACTGTCGGCGGATGTACAAATTTTCTTTTGTATGCAGATAACATGCAGAGATATTTATAAATATAGCATTTGCTTTTTTTTCTTCTACCTTTTTATATATAAATGTAAGTATGCAGCATAAAGTTTGTATGAAATAAATGCTAAAGGTAAATATAAAAACGGTTTCTACGATATATTTTTATATTAATTTTGTATAATATTTTATGAGAAGCCTGTGAATATTTAACACCCTTTCTTCCCATCGGTAAAAAGTAAAGATTTTTTTTTTTTTGGGGGGTGGGAGGGGATTGGGCTTAGGGCAGGGGTGGAACTCATTCATATTTACAAGACTAGATGCAAATTATAGAAGAATGCTGAATGGGGTCAGTACTTAAATTTTTTTTAAATATTTTCCTGAAGCCAAACCTGGACTCCCGACTTAATGGTGGGGGGATTTTTTGACACAAATTTGATTAAACAAATACGTTTTTGTACCAATGAACATACATCATTTTCTGCTGGTCTTCTTCAGGATTTGACCTGTCCACTCCATGACCCATTTGTCCAAATCCTATCAACGTATTTGATTATTTCATTGCAGGCTAAGATGTTAATAAAACTTTTTGATGAACACTATCTTCTTTGCATGTCTTCTCTTGGGGAGGGATAGTTTACAAATTATTATTTTTATATTTCTTTATTTGAAAACTTTCAGTGTATCCAGTGGTTATGTCCACAATCAAAACATTCCTTACAAATCTGCTCCGTATCTGTATATTGATCCAGCTTAAAATACTGTACATTGATCAGGTATGAATAAAATAAAAAACGCAGTTCTGTGAACTTAAACCTTTCCATTAGATGTATTGGAAGACAGACACTATTGACACTCTTTCTATTCTTTCTACAAAGGAATAAGTGTGATGGGTTATATTTCCCCTAGCAATGTACAGAAATAATTAACAGCTTCTTTTAAATATGTGAGATGTTTACATCAATCCACAGGTTTTTTTAATAACATGAAAATAATAAGAACAAACAACTTAAACCACTTTGTAGTAATTAGCATTAATACGAATCACATAATATCTGCATAGTAAATATGTGTTATTAAAAACCAAAGTCAAGTAGCGTAATCCAGAGGATCTCACACTATGATTATGGAACCATGTAGAACTGTCGATTAATGCTAACCTTTTTTATTTTTTTTATTTTATTGGAAGTATATTTTCACAGGTCAATATTATTTGGAATAAAATCCAATATAAAAGCCGGTTCTGAAATTACCTGATAAGAAATGAAAGTTTGATATTTGGAGTACTTGTTTGGAAAAATGTATTATACTAAAATGTCATTGCAAAATGTGATAATACACAAAATGTGGACAATATGTGAGGTTTGATGTCTACGTACCCTAGACAGGAAGTTAGCAGATCTGTTAATCAACTCGAGAAGATAGGTTGGTCTTCGAGTCTCAGCAGAGGAACTACCAAACCAGGAAGCTCCCGCTCAAACCTGATTTTTGTTCTTGTTTTCGGGAGTATTTTGAATATTAATTATACTCCATATTTGGGTGAGATTTTTCTGAACAGGTATTTTATCATGGTGTTCCTCTGGCATTAACCTGTCCTCAGCAGTAATTTCCAGTACAAGAAGTTCTTGAAGATCATTGGCCATTACCATGGATTCTTTGTGACCTGGAAAATTGTTCCGCATGTTCTTGGAGGGATTTTAGTTAAACATCCTGCACTGTGACTATTACTAATGATTTGGAAATTTCTTCATATACACTGTTTCCCTGAATATAAAGTCACACCATCATTAGCAAGCGAGTGTAAAGAATGTATTTTGGGACATGTACAGTTTGCATTGGTTTTAGAACGAGTGGTCATATTAAACTCTCAGCTGATTTATATCTCATTGATTGGAACATCTTAAAACGTATTACTAGCTATGAAATGTTGGATCTCTGTATTTAAAAAAAAATATCCAATATAGCTGAGCTGGAAAAATAATCCCTATTTAAGAGTTATTTTTATTTATTTTTCTTACAGCAAAAGTGTTTAGAAATGGAACTAAATTCACTTTATTTAGTGAATATATCATTTTTTCATGATAGTTTATGGTTTGAAACCTTATAGACTATGTCTATGTCTTACAAATTATCAATATAATAAAATGGATTACTTGTCTGTATAGAGCCCTGTTATTCTGGCTATCTCTGTGATCCAAACAAAAAGCATTTATTTTATTACCGAGGACTTCCATTCTTCTGAAGGAGCTTATTGGTGCTATAAAATAAAAGGTCACCCTTGCTTCCAATGGTACTGTTATTGTTTTCTCATTTTGTGCATGGCTTTACATTCTCCTGCCTTTGACTTGGTGTGCTGGCATCACATGAGATGCTCCAATCATAAGAACTGTCAAATTGGACATAAAAAAACCTCAAAACCCTATAGGTTGGACAAACTGGAATTACATACTGAAATTTGAGCTCCTACAAGAGGGAATTTAGTAAATCTTTCTCCCATCAGTTCCAGATTCTGTGGCCGAGTCTCGATTAGGCACTTCTAACCATTCATTCCTGGTTTTTCTCTCTGTAGTATAGTGTCACCAAGCAAAAATTACCAAAGAAATAAAGCAAAATACAAAAAAATGAAATTTACATTATCTGCACCTCGTGGCATTTCTGCTCATGAAAGAGTGGTTCCCCCAGTGTGTGGTCAGCCCTGAAAGGTGGTTTGAAGAACTGCCTGCATAATATGTGTCTGTGACCATGTCCTTTAATATGTGTCTGTGACATTTCCTTTATTATGTGTCTGTGATTGCTTCCTTTATTATGTGTCTGTGACTGCTTTCTTTATAACATGTGTCTGTGGGTGCTTCCTTTGCTACTTGTGTCTATGACTGCTAGCTTTATTATGTGTCTGTGACCGCTTCCTTTGTTAAGTGTGTTTGTGACTGCTTCCTTTATTCCATGTGTCTGTGACAACTTTCTTTATTGTGTGTGTCTGTGACTGCTTTCTTTATTACGTGTGTCTGTGACTGCCTCCTTTATGTGTTGATGACTGCTTCCTTTATTATGTGTCTGTAACATTTTCTTTGTATGTGTGTTTGTGACTGCTTCCTTTATTATGTGTTTGTTACTACTTCCTTTATTGTGTCTGTTATTGCTTCCTTTATTATGTGTCTGTGACCACTTCCTTTATTATGTGTTTATGTTACTACTTCCTTTATTGCGTGTGTCTGTGACTGCTTCCTTTACTAAGTGTGTCTGTGACTGCTTTCTTTATTATGTGTTTCTGTTATTACTTCCTTTATTGTGTCTGTGATTGCTTCCTTTGTTATGTCTGACCGTGACCATTTTCTTTATGTCCATCTATGATGTTTCTTTTACACGTGTGTCTATGACCACTTCCTTCCTTACGGGTGTGTTGCTGCCTCCTTTATTATGTGTCTGTGACTGTTTCCTTTATTATGTGTGTCTGTGGTTGCTTCATATGCCTGTGCCTATGACCGCTTAACAGCACACACACCATAATGCACATGTCCCATCACTTTAAAAAAACAACACATATCCTACTTCAGTAAGTCTCACTCTAACCCCTCATCACTAGATTTTGGTAATAATGATTAGTCAGGTAATGTACTCAACATACAGTATTATATCCGTAAAACCTCAGTTAGGCTGGGATTGTAACGTTTTGTAAAAAAGCAAAAGAAAAAACCCATAAAATAATAGTAAGTCATCTATTTATCATTCGTGTTTTCATCCAGTGTTATTGTTATTTTGTCATTTCTTCACGGCACATTCACACATTTTTATAACCTTGGTTTTAGCTTGAAAAGTTTGTTCAACCTTGTATGTGGCCGTCAAGTGAAATTTGTGGGATCACTCAAATTCCAATAGGAACAAAGAACCAAAATCGAGCATGCTTTGGTGTTTAGATGATAAGAAACATATGGCATTACATCCTTCTTATTAACCACTTGTATTGAGTCAAACTTAAAATGTTTTCCCAGACAGGAGGCATCTTTAGGAAGCAATAGGTTTTGTTAATATAATAATGTTATAGAACCCTTACATTAAAACTAGCATAGTGGTAGTAAAATGAGCAATCTTTCTCGTCAGATTTGTTGTAAAGAAAGTGGTTTTGTAGAGGAAGAGGTCTAAAAAGAGACAATAGAAGCTGTCTTCTTATTCACTGGAATCTGTCTTCCTATGAACTAGTTTCGGCAGATGACAGGAGGTCATTCTCTGAGTTAATATGTTGCAAATTTCCATAAGTTTAAGGTGGTGATGACTACAGATGTCTTATGTTCTTCTAGACAGGGTCTTGGTATTCTGTCTGAACCTGAAGTTGTTATAAATTATAGGTAAGCAGAAACACAAGGTGGAAGGTGAAGAAAAGTTGAAAATACAATTCTATACAAGACAATATAAGGTTCTGTATCTCATATAATAATTGAGTTTGCCATTAAATATACCGGGGAGGGAGGAACTTTTACTTGCTAATTCTTTCTTTCTATTTATTTGTTGTTTGGTTCATATTTGGCAAGACGTGTATACCCTGTTTTCAGTTATTTCCTGTTTGACAACAAAGCTTGGTTATTTGGCACAGAGGTTGGAATTGTCATTTGGCACTCCTTCCACCAACATGTGAGTCTCTACAGCCTGGAGAAGGTTGATGGTTTCTCCACCCACATATGTTCCCCCTCAACACTTGTGTTTCACTCCAGACCCACCTGGCCTTTATTTGTCACTCCACACCCACTTCATCGCCTTTTATGTCACTCCAGCCCTCTCACTCACTTGTGTGTCCCCCCAACTAACCTAACAACCCATAAGCCATGGCCCAGGGGGTTCTGCTCATCTGCCCTGTCATTGAAGCTCCTAGGTCCATGTCATATGAGTGGCTTGTCAGGCAGGATATGATGTTAAGTTATCCATTCCACTCTCTCTGCACACCACTGTCCACCGACAGACCAGGCAGAGGAGCTTGCACATCTTCTGCCAATGTCACATTTACAGCATCTCCCTTCCATCTTTCATCCGGGGTGCTGTCTTTCTTAATATGCTGAATATAGATACTTGGGATGACTCTTAAAATGATTAACATTTTGTGAAACAGGTATCGTAATAGTCTGTATAGAAGGAGAGGATTAACTTTGCATAGAATTGTTAGAGCTACATCTTGTAGATTTAAATGTTACTGTTTTTACTAAGTCTGGAAACTGAAATGGAACAAATTAATCAAACTAACAGCATGATACTATAAAACTGATATCAACATTACAGTTGTTTGTGTTACCAGATAGATGTCCCTAGATCCCCAAATGTCATAAAGACAGAGACCCGAGGGACGAATGACAATCCCTGGAAATATTCTGAATTCACATGCTGGAACAGAACAGAGGTTTAAGGCGGACAGCTTCTCGTCTCTGGTTGTGTAGCGCCTGCCAATTGACAATGTGATGGCAAAGCCACGCATGGATGGGGATTAAGCACGAACTCACAAAAACATCTGGGTAGAATGAAAACATTCAACAGAAAAAAAAAACTAGTATTATAAATAGTTTTCATTTTTATTGTTTTTTTTTTTTTGTTGCTAGACATAACTCTGTCTGTTATCTCAAGAGAATGGAATCTTGAAACCACTTTTGTGTGTTTTCATGGTTGAGCCGTTTCTAGCAGGATAGTGACGTGAAAGACATATAACCGGGGAGAGATATTATATAAAAAATTAGATTAAGAGTGAATGTTTGTTTATGATTCGGGAGTGATTTTAAATCACTCAAAAGTTATTTCTTCAGTAACAAAATGAACCCTTTAAATAAATGTAGGATTCCACTTTACATATGCCTCCATTGCACTCATTAAAAGGACACTGCCCAAATGCAAAATAAATAAAAATCACTATTTAGTAAGTATACTCCAAATAAAAAACATACATGCATTTAATTATGCAATTGTTTCATTGGATTTATATCTAAAAACAGCTTGCAAAACCTGCAGATCTCTTGTCTGTAGCCTTTACAAGCCCTCGCCTTCTAACTCCGCCTAGACTTTCTGTCCAATCACAGACTTCCTAATGCAGTTCAATAAGAATTCTTTGCTAGGCAGGTGCTCTGGGCAATTGCTGCCTCTTGAGTTCAATGCAAATAAGCTAACAGAACCTGTTGTCTGCTTGAAAAGCCAAGGGGTATAACCAGAATGATTTATAAAAGTGAATTTTTGCAAAATAAAAACAATAGGGCATACTCCTCACACATAAAACTTTTCAGCAAGCTAAAGGGCTTTAGGGGTCTGGAGTGTCTCTTTAATTGTATTATTATTATTATTATTACTGGCATCTATGAAGCGCCAACACAATGTTTACAACATAAACAGACAAATACAAAAGGCAAAGCGCCCCTGACCATGAGCCACTCACCCCGGAATCTCTTTTATACAGAGTACTTTGCTAGATAGCCCGTGAGCTTACAATCTAATTGTAAATGCATTGTAGTTTACTAGATAGCACGTGTGCTTACAATCTAATTTTACACGGAGACTGCTCACTACAAATGTGATTTATTTATTTTTAAATAACGATCTCAACTTTCGTGACAATATTCTCTTCACTGCCAGGGTCTCCTAAAAAATTAGTTTAACATTTAAAACAAATGTCTTTCAATTGCAACCTACTAATAATATCTGTAAGGGTTTTCTTACTAAACACCAATTTGTAGTGAATTGTAAGCAACATTCCTTACTCAAAAATTTTGGAATTTTTTTTCCCAACTCAACTATATTCATAACTTAGCAATTTTACCCTACTTTTTGAGTTTTCAATTTACTGTGATGAAGTGTTTAGTACATAACCCGTGTAGTATGCTCAGAGAACCTTTTCTCCATCCTCATCCTCAGAGTGACGGAACATAGTAGAGTCTGGTTAAGAGATGTATCTCTCTACCGGCTGATAACAATCCGAGGAGCAAAGAGAAGGTTTAAGGAGCTTTGCGGGATAAATTGCGTTTTGCATTGTATTGCCCATGTATTGTATTGTCCATGTATTGTATGGTCCATGTATTGT